GGGAGCTGGTCACCATAAGGACGAAACCATTACTAAAAGCTTAAACTTTTCAGCCCCTCTCCCCATGCTTCTGAGAGGGGAGGGGGGCTGGAGATGGAGTTAATGATCGATCATGCCTCATGATGAAGTCTCCATAAAAATCCAAAAAGTACGGGGTTCAGAGAGCTTCCGGGATGATAAACACGGGGAGGTGATGGGTGAGTGGCAGGCCCAGGGAGGGCGTGGACGCCCCGCACCCCTCCCCACACCTTGCCCGATCCATCTCTTCCATCTGGGTGACCATCTGCATCCTTTACCATATCCTTTTATTTTTTTATTTTATTTATTTTTTTATTGGGGAGTTGGGGAAGGGGAACAGCCAAGTTGTTGTCCTTCAGTCTTAGTTGTGGAGGGCGCAGCTAGCTCAGCTCCAAGTCCAGTTGCCATCCGGCCGCCTGTTGGCAGCTCACAGCTGCTCAGCTCAAGGTGTCTTGTTCAATCTTAGTGGCAAGTGGGCATAGCCCACCACCCCAGGCAGGAGTCGAACTGGAAACCTTGTTGTTAGGAGCACGTGCTCTCACCAGCTGAGCCATCCTGCCACCTGCTGGCAGCTCAGCTTGGGTGCAGCTCACTGGCCCATGTGGGCATCGAACCGGCAACCCTGTTGCTCAGAGCTCGTGCACTTAACCAACTGAGCAACTCGGCCGGCTCCCTATATCATATCCTTTTCGAATAAACCAGTAAGCAGTAAGTAAAATGTCTTCCAGAGTTCTGTGAGCCACTCTAGCCAATTAGTTGAACACAAAGAAGTGGTTATGGGAACCTCCCATTTATAACCAATCAATCAGAAGCACAGGTAACAGCTTGGACTTGCAGTTGGCATCTGAAGGGGGGAGGGGTGGAATGGTGCAGTGTTGCAGGACATAGCCCTTAACCTGTGGGATCTGATGCTATCTCCAGGTAGATAGTGTCAGAATTGAGTTAAATTTTAGGATACCAAGCTAGTGTCACAGAATTGCTTGGTGTGGGAAAGCCTGCCACATCACTGGTGTCAGAAGTGTGTGAGTATGGTATTAGTGTCACAGTAAAGGAGGAACACAGGAGGAGCAGAGTATAGGTTTTCTATACACTCCTGTCCCACAGTATCCCTTAGGATGCTCAGCTGTCATGGGAGCTGAGGTGCCTCAACGGCTGGGAACAGAGACAAACAAACAATAGCCACAGCCCACCGCATCTTCAGGGCACATCTCCACCATCCATTCCCCACAGTGCACTGCGTCAGCCATCTCTCTGCAGAAACGTATTTGCTTGTTACTAAATTGACTTGTCTTTTTTTGTGATGTCTGAAGCTAACTTTAAAATACTTCAACCCAGGGACTTCTGGTTCCAGGCAACATACAAGGAACCCATCTCTCCCTGACCCTTGCACCAAGGACAGCTAAAAACCCTGGATGTAAATTATAAGAGAAACCGAAGAAGATTCCGAAAGATGGGGAAAAGAAGAGACTGGCTAGGGACCTCATACAACCCATTAATGAGACTCCTGGGCGTGTATTCCTGAGAAGTTAAAACATATGGACACACAAAACCTGGATACACATACCCATATCAGATTTATTTGTAATAGCCAAAAACTGGAAGTAACCAAAATGTCCTTTAACAGGTGGTTGAATGGTTAAACTGTGGTCCATCCATATCATGGACTAGCAACTGCAATGAAAAGGAAGAAACTGCTGATGCTCACAACTTGGATGGACCTCCAGGGCATTAAGCGAAGTGTGGGGGCGGGGAGAGGGGGAGATCCTGTCTAAAAGGTTACATGCTGAACGCTCCCATTTATATAACACTCCCTAAAATAACAAAATTATGAAACGGAAAACAGAACAGTGGCTTCCACGGGTTAGGAAAAGGAAGAGGGGGGTGGGTGTGGCTGGAAAGAGGAAGCTCTTTGTGGTTCTGTACCTTGTATTGGTGGTTAAGAGAAAGGAAAAGAACTGCACTCGCAGTCCCAATATACAAAAGGGATAAAACTCAAGTTTCTGTGGTTGAACCAGGATGAGGTTTAGAGCCCAGCCAGCCAGACCTCTGCTTAGGCCCCTACTGGTGGCTCCAAACGCACAGGAACATACTAAGGTGTTCGCAGAATCTTAAGGGTGATGACTCAGACTTCATTTGCATACCCATAGTACCCTGCATAGAGTACAATCCTTTCAAGTTTAAAAGAACTCCTTTCAATTCCACATGGCTAACTATGAGAAGCTTCCGTATAGAATTCCTTGTGCAAATTTTAGGCAGGAAGTAGCTCTTAGGGATAAAAGAGTCACCGTCAGTGAACAAGGAATTGCAGTTACTAGAGGAGGGAGTTTGGGTAGTAAGGGAACATACTCTGGTTTCTCTACAAGTTGCATAAATCTTTTGCCTTTTACTAAAGATTTCCGTGAAGAGAAACAGTTGAATTTTCACTCAATTTTTTGGGGTCTTGCTTTGGCAGAACTGATTTTACAGTTATAAAAAAAAAGACTTTTTTAAAGTAAATGCTTTCATTATGTCAGTTAGTTCAGGTACTTCAATATTATTAATCAGGAATCTACAGGCCAAGGCTTTTCTAGTTGTCTACTTTAACTGTTCTACGTATCATTGTAGTGAATGTCAACTGACCTGTCACTGGTGAAATCTGTGACTTGACAGCTATATGATTCACTGGTGAAATCTGTGATGAAATCTGTGACTTGACAGCTATATGATTCACGTTAGAAATGTCTACTCCTTCCTGTCTCTGAGTCCTACCTGTTACATCACTTATACAGGATAAGACTGAGCAGACATCAGTGAACGCCTTAGCGCTACGTGCAGCCCTTGTTCTGTCCTACAATCTTCACCAAGGCACACAGTATTAATTCCCTTCATTTGCTGGCCATCCACCAGGACTCATCATTTCCCTCTAAATTCTAGGATTCCACAAACAACCACCATTATATGCGAAGTGATGAGATAGCGAAAGATGAGGACAAGAAGTGGGCAATAGCACCACACAGATCAATGGATGGTCAGACAGAGGGAGGGACACACATAAATTTTTCAGGATGGCAACAGACCAAGCCTTTGGAATTCCGAGGGTATGTATCTGTGCCTTGTGCATTTTCTATGAAGGCAAGTTGGTTGGAATGTTGACACCCCCTGACCTGTGTGCCCTGTTAAGGGGGGCTGTCGTGGAGAATGCTTAGAAGGGGTCACCTCCCAGGGGCTTTAGGGCCTTGGCAGGGAGCCAAGCAGCTGGACTTGATGGAGTGACTGGAGCTGGGCAGTCAGTGAAGACAAAGCCCTTTTGTCTAGAAGGAGCCACGCACAGCAGGGCTGAGCCTGCCCTTGACAATGAAATCTGGGGTATCTCCAAAACTTGTTGGGGCCTGACCCTCTGTTTAGTTTCTCATACTGCCTCACAATTGCTTCTGTTTAGCTAAAAGTCTCAGTCGATTTTTGCCCCTGGCAAACAATTCAGTAACTATCTGAAATGCCTGAACTGTGACTCTAAAAAAAAAAAAAAGAAAAAAGTCAGCATTTTTTTCTGTTGTAAGAGATCCAGAAGTGGTATAGTTCTATAAAGTAGATCCCAGACCCTCACAGGGGCTATCTCCTATTACATCTCAAATTCCACTGTAACATAAAGCTTCCAAAATTCCCTCATCTCTGAAGTGGGTACAATACCACCTACCTTACAGGCCTTACAAATTACCCTAGAAAGGGCTTGTTTAAATAAAAAACCACAAATGATTCACTACATGAAAATTCAATTTACATCCAAAGTTTCATGGAAATATCTGGTGGGTAGAGGAATGAAAGCCAGGGACTCTTCCCAACCCCAGACAAACATGGGCCTTCTGTCTAACACAGTGGCTCTGTACAGAGCCAGAGTTGGAAAGGAGGGCAGGTTACCCTAGAAGATCAAAATGGAAATTGAAGTAAATTTGCTACGATTCTAAGCAAGATCTGCAACTCTCAAGGCAGCAAAAGATTAGTACAGGCCGTGTCAGTTTGCAAATGAATTGTCTTCCAAAATTTTATTTGTAAGTCGGGTGTTTAGAACTTGTAACACAAGCATTATTTTATGTCCCAAGCAAGCCCACAAAAGCTGATTGCACTTAGAATACATCTGGCATTCTACACCCTTAGAGGGAAAACAGTAAAAGGCAATGCTTTGATGTCATTTCTTAATATATCAAAATGCTTAGAAAAACAAACCCACAGTTACCAGTAGCCTTGACTTGAACCCTGAACCATAAGCGGGGGCCTGGACTCCTGCGAACCAAGTCATTACTGAAATGAGGGTCCTGGAAAACTGAAAGGGAAAGGATGAGAAGCCCAGTTTCAAGGCGTTCTGGTGGGAGGTAAAAAGGAGTCTAGCATCTCACATCTGGAAGAGGAGGATCTGGTACCTATCCACGACATACTCTAATGAACAGAAGTGCTAACTGTCACATCTAGAAAGGGCACAGGGCACGTGATAGGACAGAGGCCACCCTGCCTACTACCTAAGCAGCCAAAGATGCATGAGCCAGCCCACGGCCACCACAGAACCAGGGAGGAGACGGGAAGGGGGTTCCCAGCATGCTCTGCGGCAGTGTGGACAGCCAAGGCACTTAGAGGCAGGAAAGATGAAGTTTCTGTAGTTGCCAACAGTTGGTATAGGGAGTATCCGAGGCCACGTTTGATTTTAATAGATATGGCTAGGCCAGGAAGAGACGAGAAACTTCCTGAACTTTACAAAAGTGAAATTTGTATGAACTGATAAGTTTACATAATCAAGTTCCTGGTGTTTTGAGAGAACAGGGGACCAGAAACTGAAGACCGTGGGGAACGCCTTAATCAACATGGCATTCTCACACCTTTCACAACAGGAAAAGGTACTCAGTCCGCAGGTGCTGTTGAATACTATACCTGGGTCAACACCAATACAAAAGTGATGCACAACATTAAAACCAGGTTTGGAAATTGAGAAGGCTTCTCATTTATCCACTTTGTACCTTCTTTAATCCTCCAAATAAAGTGCCAGTCTCCAGGTCAAATTCTTGGTCCAACTGTTCTTCGTGTTCTGGCAAGAAAAACAGTGTGCATTAGTCACAAATCTGAATAAAACTGGGTTGGTGGAAGAGCAGAGACACTAAAAGAAGTTGGACTATGTCCTGGAAAAACGGCCTGTGGACTGAGCGACCGCACGGAAACATGTCACACTCCTTAACCTCCCTCTCTAGTTTTTTTATGACCTAAGTTCTTGGAACTACATGGCGGGGCTGATGGAAATGACCCCTTCCACTTGTAATAAGACTCACAAAACGAGAGGTGTCAAGAGAGAAAGCTTCCAACACAGGGACCCATAGGAGGGATTAGTGCAAATACCCCACTTGTATGGGTGGTGAAAATATTTTTTGAAACGGACCATGTCACACAGTGATAGGGATCGCAGCCACATGACACGACATAATGCTAACGAGATTATAAAATGGAATCATCTAATGGTAATAAGCATGTTCCTAAGTAAACAATCCAATTGGTTTAAAACAAAAGGCATAACAAAATCTTCACTCAAATACTTCTTGAGGGCATACAATAACGAGGCACTGTGTGAGAGAGTAGGAATGAAACAGAACAAGACTGGCATGTCTTTTGCCCTCCTGGGGTTTACCGTCCACTAGATAAAGACAAACAATTAATAAGAAATTACAATAGTGCTGATGAGTGCTGTGATATAGGAAGTAAGGAGGCTATGGAGGTTGAGTTTGGGGTATCCGTGTGGTATACAGTAGGCAGCTGGGTGGGTATGAATAGAGCTCACGAGTGCCCTACCTAAGTTGGAAATGAAAACTTAACAGTCCTCAGTAAAGGTACTGGTGAAGCCTGCAGAATGACTGACAATGCCCAAAAAGGCATAGCGTGCATAGACTGGAACAGGGAAAACCAGTGCTTATTGGACCAATAAACATAAAAAAAAAAAAAACCCACAGAAAAACAAAAGGGAGCTGCCCAGAAATATCAGAGAGTGTGTGTGTGACTAAAACTTAATCATAAAAGGATGCTGGTCTATAGTAGGGTCAGGGGGCAAATTCACACACACGAGACATAAACAGCAGCCCAACCTCAAACCAAAGGCAGCACTGGCCCAGAAACAATAAGAAAGGGAGGGGTACTGAGCACTGGCCCCAGGTACTGCATGACACAGCCTTGCCACACGCTCACACTGCATTCTGCATGGTCCAGGAGGTGCAGCAGGGCCCCGGTTTTTTCTGCACAGCTGCAGTCTCACCACATTGTGAGTGTGTGTGTGTGTGTGTGTGTGTGTGTGTGTTGTACACAGACTTAAGTCCAAGGGAACAGCCCTCAGACTGCAAGCTCCTGCAGTACCACAAAAAAGTAAAAAGAACCTAATTCATTAACACAAATTGGATGGAAAATCTGCTTCTTGCCGCTTCAGTTTTGACTTCACTTTCATACACAGAGCGACCTCCAGAAACATCAGAGTCAGGCAGAATTAAAACTAAAGCAGAAGCCTGAGTCCTTTCTTCTTCTTTACAAGAGTACATCAGAAGCAGCGAAGGTTAAAGGCTGAGCACCAGACTTCCTGAAGCTGGAGCACATCACCCTCTAGTGGGAAAAAGGAATCTTTGCAGATAGGAGACAATGAAGAAATCCTGTCCAGTGCTATCCAACTGAAACACTATGTCACACGTTTATAATTTTAAAGGTTCGCATTTTAAAAAGCGAAGTTAATTTTAGTATGTTGTATTTATCTCAACATATCCAAAACATGGTTTCAACATAGAATCAATATTCATTATGAATGCGTTACTTTACACTCTTGTTTCTTCAAAGTCCAATGCACGTTACCCTTACGGCACATCGCGATTTGAAGTGGACATCTTTCCAGTTCTCACCAGCTATGTGGCTAATGGGTACAGTAATTGGCAGCATAGCTCTTGACCAAAAATTCTCCCTCACATTTTGGAGACTTTCTACAGATCACCCTTGTCTGGTTTCTTGACACAAACGAATGCTGCATGACATACATGTTAGATTACAACTCCAATCCACTCACAACCCCTTTGGAAAACACTGTCTTCAGACTGTTACGTTAGCTGAAAACGCGTTGCTACAGAATTTGGCTGACGCTGGAGAACGGAAGCTGAGAGCCTGGAGCAGGAGGTCTTTCCCGGAAGCACAAGGACCATCGGAACTTCTCTCCTTCTACCTTCTTGGTAGGCAGCCCGTATTCTCACCCTTTGGGCAAGACGAGTTTTCATCATCACTCAGGTACACTCAAGCAAGAGGACGCTACAGAGAGAAGCCTTCTCGCCTGAGCAATTTCCTCCCCATCACACAGGCCTGACTCTCGGTGCCCCGGTTCCATCCTCCCTAAATTCAGTGCCGCACAAAAGTGCCTGAGAGCAGAGAAATGAAACGATTCCTGCAGATGAGCCCTCATTACTAAAGAAGCTGTTGATTCTGCCCTCTCCAACCACCACCCAACAAAAGGATTTATCAAAACACCATACTACCTACTGAGTGAAGAGATTTGCATTTTAATCGCTGCCAAGCGGCTGTGGTGTAAACCATTTACTTAAAAGCTCCAAGTAACCTATCCCCTTTCACCCTCAACACTTTGATGGGAAATCAATTCTGGGGTGGGGTAGGGGTGATCAGAGGGCAAGAATCAGTAAGAGGGGGACATAACACATGCACGTGCCCTCCTGATACAAGCCACTGCTGGGGAGAACCACCCCAATCCTGGCTTCAGGGGTCCTGCTGCTGCTGCTTTGCATGTGAAAAATTCTAATCAGCACCCACTGATTCTTGTCTCCCCAGGAAGCCTGTGGGCCTAGCAGACTGTGGTAGTAAATAAGAGGAGGGAAAGGGAGCAGCAAAGATGGCTTCTAAAGACAAGAGAATGTAATGGTGGCAACTTTCACGTACTCCTACGAAAGAGCACACAGAAAGAGGGTGGTAACGTGCTGGCTGTTCCAGGACATTCTTGAGGTGTGAGGGCTCTTCCTCTCCCCCAGTTCCCACTCAGGAAATAAAAAGTGATTTGGAAATCCATTAGCCAAGCAAAAGGAAACCATGTGTGCCAACAGAATACAAAGCGATAAAAGATGTGAAAGGCCTTCAAGTCTCCCTAACAGGCTGCTCATCTGCTACTCACCTAAGGAATTCTGGGCTCTTTTCAGGCAGACCACCAGGTGTGCCATTTGCATGGGAGTCCTGAGGGCTCCTAGGAGATGTTGGAGAAGCCCCAGACTGAGATGGAAACGTTCCCATAGTTCCCAGGGCAAGGTTACCTACTCAAGGGTGGGACCAGTGGCATTGGTTTCCTCACCCTGACCTGGGCCCTCTAGGGTTACTGACCATCTTGCCGCCAAATCACAAAAGCAAATAGGCAAAATTACCTCCTGATTAACAAAGCCTACCCCCATGAGAGGCAAGTGTGTTGCATGAACACCATAAAAGAATTAATCTATAAATGAGCAGCTATAGTCTTTTCTCATGAACTGAGATTGGTGATGTGATAAGAACAGGTGTGTATAAGAATAAACAGAAGGTATGCTTGAAATATGCTCGAATATAGTTGCATCCCACTTTAAGAACACCCACTATATAACAAAGAAATTAGAGATGGCAGTTCAAAACAATAATTTGTTCCATACTTGCTTAAATATCAGGGGTCCCTGGTGTCACAGAGAAATATTAACTACTGATCACTGAAAATTAAAGTAATGAAATGAAAGTGCTTGTGAAATGAAATGCAAATCAATGGAAAGCACAGTTCCAATTATAAAATATCATTAATATGCAACTGTTCAGGAAGGTAGCTGCTGAATAAAAGAAGGTGAACCAGGGCTCTAAGAAACCAGAAGGATCTAGAGTAGCTGCTCTTCATTAGAAAGTAATCTTCACAGAAAACCAAAAAATGGTAGAATCTGTAAATAAATCCAAGAGCTTGTTCTTTGAAAAAGAGAATTAA